CCTCTCCAACACTTGTTGTTTGTTGATTTGTTGATGATAGCCATTCTGACAGGTGTGAGATGATAACGCATCGTCGTTTTGATTTGCATCTCTCGTATAATTAGTGACTTTGAGCAGGTTTTCATATGTCTTTCGGCCTTCTGTATGTCCTCTTTCGAAAAGTGTCTATCTAGGTCCGTTGCCCATTTTTTTATTGGATTGTTTATCTTCCTTTTGTTAAGTTTCATGAGATCCCTGTAAATGTTGGAAATTAAACCCTTATCGGTGGTATCATTGGCAAATATGTTCTCCCATGTAGTGGGTCTTCTTGTTGTTTTGTTGATGGTTTCCTTTGCTGTGCAAAAGCTTTTTATTTTGATGTAGTCCCATTTGTTTATTTTCTCTTTAGTTTCCATTGCCCTAGGAGCATTATCAGAGAAGAAATTTCTTCGGCATATGTTTGCGATTTCGCTGCCTGTGGACTCCTCTAGTATTTTTATGGTTTCCCGTCTTACGTTTAAGTCTTTTATCCATTTTGAGTTTATTTTTGTGTATGGTGTGAGTTGGTGATCTAGTTTCATCCTTTTGCATGTATCTGTCCAATTTTCCCAACACCATTTATTGAAAAGACTGTCTTGACTCCATTGTATGTTCTTGCCTCCTTTGTCGAATATTAATTGGGCATAGTGGTTTGGGTTGATTTCTGGGGTCTCTATTCTATTCCATTAATCTATATGTCTGTTCTTGTGCCAGTACCAAGCTGTTAAGGCTCTATTTTAAATTACACATTTGTGACGTTTCCTCCTGTATAACAATTAATTTAACAAGGAAAAAAAAGTCTGAAGAGTTGACCAATGTTTGATAGATGGTCTTAATCAAATAAGGATGTTAAAACCAAGGATAGTGGAATACTAAATACCTAAATCAGTGCTTGAGAGTCCGAGAGAGCTCTCTAATGCTCTTAGAAACTATGGAACTTCTTTTTCATCTGCAGTGTGCATCATTCCTGTTGATGACACACCACCTGTGGGAGCTTCGGGTTCACACCCTGGCTGTGGCTTCTCCCACACTTCAATACAACCTCCTCATGGCTTGGCGAGCGTCTCTCCGACTGGAGACTGCCAACTATTCATGAGCAAGGAGCACGCCATGTTCACGAGCCTAGCCCGATGCACAGACACAGCGCACTCAATAAATCGCGTCATGAAAGAATCGGATAGTAGTTCTAATGCTTGTGGAATTTTTAAAAACTGAATTCAGTTTCAGTTCAATGATATCTGGATCTCAAAGGATGTTCTGAGGACACGGAGGGGCTGAATTTAGCAAGCTGGGCAAGGATATGTGTAGTAAGAAATTCACTACATACTTCATTTCTGTGACTTTTTTTTTTTTTTAATCCTCACCCGAGGATATTTTTCCATTGGTTTTTAGAGAGAGGGAAAGACAGAGAGAAATATCAATGTGAGAGAAACACATCGATTGGTTGCCTCCTGCACTTGCCCCGACCAGGGCCCGCGCCGGGGAGGAGCCTGCAACCGAGTTCTGTGCCCCTGACCAAATGGAACCTGGGCCCTTCAGTCTGCAGGCCAACGCTCTAGCCACTGAGCCAAACTGGCTGAGATTTTTACACATAGCTGTTTACACATGTTTTCTTATGGAAAATTTCAGACATACTCAGAAGTAGAGAGAAGAGTATAATAAACCTTTGTATACCTATCACCTAGCTTCAACAACGATCAATCTTTCATCCATATCTGTCCCCTCTCTCCCACAGTCAGACTATTATGAAGCAAATCCCAGAGACCATCCGACTTCATCCACAAAGATTTCAGTTACATAGAGATTTAACAATTTACCCTCCTTACTCAAATTTATTTTTATTTATCACACTTATTAACTTAGCACATCTTTATGAACGTTTTACATCTGCAATTCTATTTCTGGTTAAAGTTTCTTTTACTAAATCTTTTATTAGTGTTTCTTTCTATCCTTTTCTATAGACTTGTATAAACCGCTCCCAGTGTTTAACTGGAAACTGAAACATCAAGAAATAGCTCAACAGGTTCCTGAGAAGCATTATTATCCTGCAAGTCCAGGGAGGCGACTCAGATGGTTGTGCAAGCTTGGAGAGGTGCATCCGAGCAAGGGAGAAACTGAGGGTCCTCAACAGCATGAATTCTTTCCTCCTGGGTAAAGACCCCCAGGAGCCCACAGACATTTGTGCTGATGTCATTTTGGCTGTGAGTAACCAGCAACCCGGACTATGACCACAGCTACTTTAGAGGAGGTCTACCTTCAGGCTGTGATGCAGAACCACCTGGGGAGCCTTTGAAGGTAGAGATTCTCAGGGTTAAAAACAACCAGCAGGTCTCCCAGGAGAATCTGATGTGTAGCCCTTAACCCCTGTGCTGTTTAAGGATCAACTGTACCACATTTTATTTATCCATCCATCTACTGAAGAACATTTTGGTCATTTCCAGTTAAGGGTGATTATTTAAGCTGCTATAAATATCCATGTGCAGGTTTCTTTTGAGGGTATAAGTTACCAATTTGTGTTATTTAGAAGTACATTGTTTACTCCCCAAAATTTGGGGGTTTTCCAGGCATTTTTTTATTATTGATTGCCAGTTTAATTTCACTGTGGTCTGAGAGAATACTTTGCATGATTTCTATGCTTTTACACTTGTTCAGATGTGTTTTAAGCCCAGAATGTGATCTCTCTTGGTAAATGTTCCTAGTGATCATCACAAGAATGTGTATTCTGTTGTTGTTGATGAACCACGGGAATTGAGAAAGATGTCAATTGGATCCTGTTGACTGATAATGCTTTGCAGTTTAGCTATATGCTTACTGATTTTCTCTCTCCTGGTTATGCCAGTACTGATAGAGGGGTATTGAAGTCTCTAACTATAATAGTGAAGATATAATTGCATTGAATCTATAGATTGCTTTGGATAGTATGGACATTTTAGTGATGTTAATTCTTCCTATCCAGGAACACGGTATATGCTTCCATTTATTTGTAGGGAGGATAAATGATGATGGAAGGAGACTTCACTTAGGATGGTGAATACACAATACAATATACAAATGATGTATTGTAGAAGTGTACACCTGAAAACTATATAATTTTATTAGCCAATGTCACGCCAATAAAGTCAATAAAAAAGAAAAAAGGATGGGGATATATATCCCCATCCTTTTTTCTTTTTTATATATGTGTCTCCTTGCAGTTTTTTCAGTTTTTGCTTCATTGTTATGTCTTTTTGGGTAACTGACCCCTTTATCATTACATAATGCCCCTCTTTATCCTTGTATGAAGGATTGGTATTTTTTCTTTAAATATTCAACAAAATTCACTGGTAAAACCATTTGCCTTTTTTATGAGAAGATTTAAAATTTACTAATTCAATTTCTTTACTTGCTATATGTCTATTCATATTTCTATTTCTTCTTGAGTCACTTTTGGTAATTTGTCTTTTTAGAAATTTATCCATTTCATCTAAGTTGTTCAGCTTATTGATATGAAGTTGTTTATATGGTACTTCCTTATAATTCTTTTAATTGCTGTACCCTTTTTAATTCTTCATTTTGGGGAAAAAGTATACAATTCACTGATTTTCAGTGTATTCACAAGACCATGTAACTAAAACCATAATCTAATTGCAAAACATTTTTATCATCTCCCCAAAATATCCATATCCATTGGTAGGCCCTATTCTCTTTCCCCAAACCCTAGACAACCACTAACCTACTTTGTCTCTGTGGATTTGCTTATTTGGGACATTTCATATAATTAGAACATACAATATGTGGTCTTTCACTTAGCATAATATTTTCAAGGTTCATCCATATGGCAGCATGTATCAGCACTTCATTCCTTTTTACGCTGAATAATATTCCTTACGTGGACATACCACATTTTGTTTATTCCCTCTTCAGCTCACGGACATTTATGTTGTTTCCACTTTTTGGCTATTATGAACATTTCTGTTCAAGTTTTTGTGTGGTGCACCTTCTTAATTAGCATAGAATCTCAAGGTTATAAGCTAAGTACCTAGCCACTCAGGAACCTGGAGGCTGGAGAGTGTGTTTTTTGTCTTTGTGTTTATGTGTCTGTCTTTCTATGTGTGGGAACGACCCAAGTTCCTGGATGTTTACAAAGAGTCTTCGGGTTTAAGAAGAAGCCAGAAGGGCTGCGTCAACTCTTAATATCTTAACTCTGCCCTCCACGCTTCAGCTCTCCCTGGCTCCATGCCTCACCTTCTGTTCCGAACCACAGTGTAAGTGAGGCCTGCAGTGTGGGAAATGGACCATGACATGCATGCCCCAAAAAGCCAGTGTACATGCACAAAAAATGTATATTTCTATCGTGCTTTTCAGATAAAAGGAAAAGTGATATGTATCATTTTGTGATTCAAGAAAAGCAATGGTAAAAACCCTGCTCTCAAGTTAGTGGGAGGGAAAAATCATCTATCCATCAATAGATGTGATGATGCCCAAATATTACTTTGGTTAGAAAAACAATCCCACATAAACTCCCACTTTTCTCTCTTTTGGTCCTCAAACTTTCATCACTATACGCAGTGCCTCTGTGGATAAAAGCATGCGGTGAGCCAGGCAGCTGCTCACCGGTGTCTTTATTCCTAGTAATCCATCCGTTTTGGCCTTCCTCTGAGACTCTTCCCCATCATCTGTCACTTGGCCCTGAAATGGTTGTGAGGATTCTTCCTCCCCCGTCTTTGTTCTAAAATTGAATCTGAACACTCTCTGTTACCTAATAAGGCAGAGCCAGGCAATGTTTCTTTGCAACTCTGTTATCTCATTCTGGATAAAGGTAGTGAGGTGAGTTGCAAAGAAATCTAGAAAACCAAAGGGTAAAAACATTCTCTAAGAATAAGGGAAATCTGATCCAGGATGAGACAAGAGATACAGTACTTGACTAAAAGTTGGTCTGATCTGGCCAAATAAGACTGCATGTGACACATTCAGGTATACGTTTATAAGACGAGATTCTGTACCTGCTTGTTGAAATATCTTCAAAAGGGTAGAGGATCTCTCCATTGTTGCAGATTTCACAGATGAACCCCTTCTGGCTGCAGAGACTGCAGCTGTACACGTGAGAGCTGGCGAATTTAATGACCTTGCCCAGGAATGGAGCCAGCTTTCCCTCTATTACCTGCAGGAAGAGAAATGGGACAGGGAACGTCACTGAGCACAGAAATCTTGCGGATGAGGAGAACTGGAATTCCTTTCCTCTACACAACAGGAAAACCTCTAATTATAATTTCTCAGCAACTCTGAGAAAGAAAAGACATAGTATTTTCGCTCCAAAAGAACCCTCTGGTTTAAACCACTGGAGGTTAGAAAATGAAGATGTTGAAACTTCTTTTGTATTCTTCTTTCTTTGTAGTGGGGTGTAAGGGATTGAAGACCAACAAACGGGGAGCCCCACTTGCATAGACCGACTCACAGTTATGGTGCGGTGTAAGAGGAATGCAGCGGGGTTCTGGGAATAGACTGAAAACAGCTAGGGTAAGTATGAATGCAGAACTTCATACTTTATGTTGTCTATCCAACAGTTCCTTTTCTCTGATGAATTAATAGGATAGTTTTTTCACTATCTCCCCCACGAACACAGAACAAATGTGGAAAAATAGGTTTCTTTTGCTGCTGACAAGTACCAGTATATTAATATAAAGAGGTTGCAAATTTGGCAGACAGAGGGTCATATTCAGCCTGAAGAGTTTTTTTTTTAAAAAAAAATCTCTTAGTGTTTTAAAGAATGAGCCATTTTAATAATTAGGAGCCTGGTTGAGCATTGACCTCTGAACCAGGAGGTCATGGTTCGATTCCTGGTCTGGGCACATGCTCTGGTTGTGGGCTCGGTCCCCAGTGTGGGACGTGCAGGAGGCAGCCGATCAATGATTCTCTTTCATCATTGCTGTTTCTATCTCTCTCTCCCTCTCCCTTCCTCTCTGAAATCAATCTATAATAATAAACGGGTAATATGCTAATTAGACCCGATGGCCGAACAGCGGAACAAACATCCGGATGACCTTCCAGACAACCATCAGGGACCATGCTATGACATCCACTGGCACCAGGCCAGCCAAGGCAGATGCAATGCAATTGGTCGGGGGCCAGGCCATTGCCCCATGCTCGCCCTGCAGAGGGAGGCCCAGGCCACGGACCTTCGAGGGAAGCCCAGGTCCCGGGTGACTGCTGGCGGCCAGAGGGAAGCCCAGGTCCTGGGTGCCAAAGGGAAGCCGGTGTTGGCAGCCTGGGGAAGGAAGGCCTACTCTTGCGCAAATTTTGTGCACTGGGCCTCTAGTAAGAGTATATCTAAAAAATAAATAAAAATAATTGGGAGATTTCACATAAAAATGCAGATTTGGGGTTTCTTTTGAAAAATCATTATATCTAGCAGAGCTAGGCCTGAACTCTAGCATGGTGATGATCCTGCCTGTGACAGGCAGCTTGCTCCCCCCGGAGCACGTGCCTCCCGTTGATAGCTGTCCCTGCCAGGCCCTTGTGTCTTGCATCTGCCTGCCTCCCACAGGGACCACACCTGTTGGCCTGCAAACAACCTGGTTTTTGGAACCAATGGTTAGTCTGACCCATCCTCACTTCTCTAAAATGGTGGGTTTCAAAGTGTTCAGCAGTTCGTGTACCAACAAGATAAAACCTGCCTTTATTTCTCTCTATTAGTGCAAATGTATATACATGATGATTTTAATAAGAAAAAAAGAAAGAAAATTTAATTTGAAAATATTTGGAAATAGCTGTAGACTTTCAAATGAATCTATAGTTTGAATGACAATAAGATAAAAATAACATCCAAGGGCAATGCATATCATACCTAAATGGAAATTACAGTGCCAAGGTGAATAAATTAGTAGTAACTAACATTTCGGAAATAAAAGACTGCAAGGAATGTAATAATGTGTTTTGCTAAAAATGAAGCTATTCATAATACTGGAAATAAAAACTTAAGTGGTTTTTAAAATATATATTTTTTTATTGATTTCAGAGAGGAAGGGAGAGGGAGAGATAGGAACATCAATGATTGGAGAGAATCATCGATCTGCTGCTTCCTGCACACCCCTACTGGGGATTGAGCGTACAACCTGGGCATGTGCCCTTGACTGGAATCGAACTGGGACGCTTCAGTCTATAGGCCTATGTTCTATCCACTGACCCAAACCGTCTAAGTCTGAAGTGGTTTTAAAGGTCACAGTATAATCTCATGATATTTTCAAAATAACAGTAGTTAACTCTAGGGAAGGGAAGAAGTGGGAAAAGCAAGTCTTTCACTTTGTATACAGTTGTCTTTTTGCATTTTTAAAAACAATGTATATCGTTTTGCATCAAGGTACAGAAAATGAACAGAAAAACCAGGTTTACTGCTTTAAAAAAGTGGATTTTTTTTTTCTTAATATAGAGGGTAGAAATTATGCTGGCTGTTTTTCTGTCAAGCAAGTCCATTTTCCATCCTTCTTTAACTTATTTTCCTCTCTATTACCTTTAGAAAGCCATAGATAGAGCTCTTTATTTTTATTTTCTCAAGGACCATTAACTTCGACAAACCCCAGCAAAGCGTACTCCTAATACCAACACATGATACACTTTCTAAGAAATAACCGCTACCAAATCATATACCCAACCACCAGTAAACACTTTCCAATGTGTCATAGGGTTATTTCTAAATTGTGGTGACAATACTTCAGTTCTACTTGGTTTTGCTTACATTACTATTTCCTAAACAACCAAGGTTAATGACACATTTAAAGAGAGGCGCAAACTATAGTCCACTCTGGGGAAAACATCGGGATGTAGAACAGTTCTGGAAACCAGGTGAGTAAACGCTGCTTGAAGGAACCCAGGGTGAGAAGAGAAGACCTTGGGGAGGACCTGACAGTTATTATCTGGGATCTAGAGGAGCAGACCAGGCGTCTTGTGCATAAAGCTTTCCCCATTTTAGATGATCTCCTTGAGGCAAAGGGTATGAGAATTTTGAAGGCTTTTGAAATAACTCACCAAACTTATTTAATAAGCTTAAAAAATTAATTTGGGGACTGATAGCTTTATAATATTTAGTCTTCTTATCGAAGAACCTGATCTATATCTCCATTTTATTACATTTTCATTTATTATAGTTCAATAAAAATTTGTTTTCTTTCCTTGTATATGCCACTCACACTTACTATATTTAGGTTATTTCCAAATTGAATTTTGTGTAATATGTTTTCTTATTAGCCATTGCTGGTATATTAGAATATATTGACATTTGTGTACACCTCATATGACTATATTTTACTGTATTTTCAGGGATGCAAAGCATTTTTAGGATATTCTTTTGGGTCTTCTGAAAGTAAAAACTGGTCCCTTCCTTTCTAATATTATACCTCTTATTTATGTTTCATGTCTTATTGCATCACTCAGTGCTCTTAACACAATATTAAGTAACGATGGTGTTAGAATCAAACTGGAAATTATGGAGTCTAGTGAGTGGTTCATTTTCTCCACCAGAAACGTATATATTATCATTCACCACATTTTATTGATTTCCTCTCTTTTTAAATTACAGCTTTAGTGAGATATAATTCACATACCATGTAATTCACCTATTTAAAGTCTACAATTAAATGGCATTTAGTTTATTCACAGAGTTGTATACTATAACCACCATCAATTTTTGAGCATCTCTTCAACTCTTCCAAAAAACCTTGTACCCATTAGTAATTACTCTCTTTCCCCTAAACTGCTCCCCAAGCCCTAACCAAGCAATAGTCTAGTTTCTGTCTCTGGATTTACCTATTTTGGACATTTCATATAAATGGAATGATACAATATGTGGCTTTTCACTTAGCTTAACGTTTTCAAGGTTCAAGTTGATTCTCTTCTAAACACCTCTAATGTAAGTCTCCTTTTTCCATCCTGCCCTACATTCGTATCTCTCCTATCAATCTTCTAATTTTATTTCCAGATGCCTGTCTTTTTCCTTTGATCTGACCATAATATATATACTAATCAGTTTTAGATACCACTTTCATCATGTATCATGTCTTCCCTCAAACCTTGGTGAATTCTTATTTTATCATTATTAAAAACTCTTCACTCATCATTTCAGATAATTATATTGAATTACTATGTCCCATGTTCTCCATACAAGAGTGAACTGGGTCAAACTGGAACTTACATTTTGCCTGGTGTGCAGGTGGTCTATACGCTGGTTCCACACTACCTATCCAAATTCATTTTCCATTTCTTACGATGTAACTTCTGTTGTGAGCAAATGTTTCCTCATGTAGAATATGCTTACTCTTGTTCTTGTGCCTTCACCATGTCATTTCCTCTGTCTGAAGTTTCGCTTCTCTTCTTAAACACTTTTTTAACTTCACCTAGGCTTCATGGCTCCGACCTATTCTGGCTTGATCTGGAAAGCCATCTTTGGCCACTTCACTGTTTGGATCTCTCGTGCTTCACATAAATTACTTTTACATCATGCACACCATGTAATGTAATATAAAACTTGATGCTGTTTTGTACTCTTTACTAATGCTTAACATGTGATTGTTTTGCTTATCCAACTGTTGATTGAATATATCGAAATGGTGAGCCTAACTATAAAATGGTGATTTTACTTAAAAAAAATGTAAATTTTATATGGAGTAACCTAAGAGAATGTAAATTGCTTGGAGGCAAGACTGAGTCTCATACTTGTCTTAAATATCTTATTTCTGCCAGGCACCTAAGTTCTTGATGACTGACCAAGGATGCTTTCTTGTCTTTTTCCTTGGCTGCAGTGGTTATATCTTAGGGCTGTTTTTGTGTCACAAATATTTTCAATCATTCTGCTGGGTGATTTAGGGAGGAGCATAAAGAGTGCATGGCCCTGGTGGAAGCTCAGCTATTCAGGGACTCCTTTGGCTTCTTTTCATTTGATTAATTGCTCTTCCTATTTGTCAGCTTAAGTTCATGGCCATGTTCCAAAGGGCTAAAGCTGCTGAAAGATTTCCTTCCAGAAAGTGAGGTAATAGTCTATGTTTTAGAATTTACAAACATATCTTTAATATTTCAGAAAGGAAAAGTTTATACTTATAATTGTCCAGGGATAAAGATATATTTAGAAGGTTTAAATCTTATCTTTGACTACAACTACTAGCAGCACTGGGA